GACTTTTACCCTTTCAGTGGCACCATAAGAATAAACAGAATTTTTTAGACACACCCTGGCCCTTGCTTTCCCTACCTTCTCTCTCCCTGTCCCACTGGTTTCTCTTGGCTACAACTCCCTGCTCCGTCTTCTGCTCCTGACCCTCTTTCCTCCTCTCCCTCCAGAACATAGACACCCTGGAGCGAGTGGCAGGGCTGGAGCCTGAGGACTTAGTGGAGGCCCATGGCACCTTCTACACGTCGCACTGCATCAGCCCCCTCTGCCGGAAGGAGTATACACTCAGCTGGATGAAAGGTGAGGGGCTGGAGGTCATCCCTAAGGGCAGGCCTTCCGCCCACTGTCCGCTGCTCAGCTCCAGGGACAGGGCCTTCCCCAGTGGGCGCCTGTTCTGCCCTGCACAGCTCTGTGGCTCTTTTTAGTAGATAATGGCAGCCTCCAAAGATTTGAAGTGACAGTGAGGTTCATTGCTCCACCACTACCTCACAGCCAGGTTATGATGGCTGCAAGCTCCAGATCCAGGTCAGCCGCACACAGAGACAGGTAGCAGAGGCCCCCAAATGGTCATACAGCCTCTTTCATGATGTCATGAAACCCTAGCTCTTTGCCTTTTGAGGGGCTCTGACCTTAGTGTACCTGATGTGCTCATCAAGGCAGCTGGAACTAAGTTCTCAGGAGAGCAGAGCTGTCTGATAGAGCTTTCTGAGATGAGGGAAACCCCCATCTCTGCACTGTCCGGTATGGCAGCTGCTGGCTTCACTGAAATGTGGCTAGTGGGACCAAGGAACTCAATTTTAAATGTAAAAAGCCATATCTGCTATGATGACCATATGGGACAGCACTTGTACGAGAAACACAGGACTCGGTTAGCCCATGAGTTCAGGCGAGCAGAATCTATGGAGTGTGAAGCCAAACACAGGCCTGGTCAGGGTTGAAGGCTGGGGCTGCCCCTAGGGGTGCAGACTACAGGGCTTGCTAAAGTCATAGACCCCATTCATGTTAGGGCAGAGTGTCCAAAAAAAGGGGGGAAATTTTTCAGCCAACCCACATTTCTTGAATACAGCAAGAGCCTATTTCTGACATCCACTGTGTGAATTAAGAAGTCACTTATGAAGAAATGAATGTGAGGTGTGAGGAATCATAGGAGCTAAGAACGAAGAAAAGGCAAAAAAAAAAAAAAAAGAAGAAGTCACTTATTTCACCCATGAAAACCCATTTCTGACATTCTTTATGCTAACTTCACAAAGCCTCTGGTGTCCATGGGAGATAAGGACAACACTTGTATTAGGGCCTCTGGATAAAATACCAGCTGACCATCCTTCGAGTGAGGAGGCCTGAACAGCCCAGCTACGCGCAGCTGGGGATGATGTACAGTTAACATTACCCCATTATGTTCACTTACAGCAATATCTCATGCAGCACCCACAAAATAGGATACTGTCAATGCAGAAATGTTTTAAAATAAATGACAGACATTAAAACACTTCTCTATTTGTCAAAGAAATGAATGGTTGAATGAATGAGCTAGGATTCTATGGATTGCAAGTGACAGAATGCTTTTCAAGTTTTCTTAATCAATAAGCAATAAGGAGACAGACCAGTGTGGCTCAGTGGTGAGTAGCGACCTATGAACCCAGAGGTTGCTGGCTCGATTCCCAGTCAGGGCACATGCCTGCGTTGTGAGCTCAATCCCCACTGCGAGGTGTGCAGGAGGCAACTAATCAATGATTCTCTCTCATCATTGATGCTTCTGTGTCTCTCTCCCTCTCCCTCTCTGATATCAATAAAAATATACTAAAAAAATAATAATAAGCAATCAGGAGCATGATAGTCACAGTATGGTGTGTGGGGGTGTCCGTCACAGAACCCAAGTCTGCCTAAAGGTTTGTCCCCATCCCAGGATCATCTGTGTATTCTTCCCTCTCGTTCTGCCACAGGCCTGGGACCCCCAGGCCTCTCTGACCCAGGAGGAAATAGGGCTGCCCTCAAAGACCCACAGACAGAACTTCACTCTTGACTTCAGTTTCCCCAGGTTGGGAGTTGGGGAGTCCAGTGGCCCCTGTTAGGAGCAAGTGTCTGCTCATTTGTTGACTCTTTCATTCAGTAGCTAAGCCGGTTGCTGGGAGCCACCCTTGGACTCCTGGGGCATGGGGGAGGACAGGGGCAGTTCTCTGAGAAGTGGGGGTCCCTTCTGAGCAGGGCAGATACCCAGGAGGTTCCCTGGTGACTGAGGTGTGTTTGCGTGGACAGTGAAGAAAGGGGCAGGGGAGGCGGCAGGGCAGGCTGCAGCCCCAGCCCAGAGCCTCTCACCTCCTTCTCCCCTTCCCCTTCTCCACACCCAGAGAAGATCTTCTCCGAGGTGACTCCCAAGTGTGAGAACTGTCAGAGCGTGGTGAAGCCTGGTGAGCCTTGGGGCCAGGGACCAACTGAGGGAGATTTGGACTGCCCGAAATGTAATGCCGACTTAGAAGCACCCCACCCCACTAACCCCTTCCCCAGAAGGCCACAGTCGCCATCCACCCACCTCTGGTCACCCTCTCTCCAGGGAGAGGGCTCTGTACCCTGGCCTGTCCCTACTGCTCTGCACCCCCCACCCAGCCCTGAGGTCTGCCTTCTGCTCCTTCCTGTCCTCTGCCTCCCCTTGTTCACTGTCTTTTTCTGTCCTGTGTTGTCTGTCTGTCCATCCGTTTCCACCTCAGATATCGTGTTCTTTGGTGAGAACCTCCCAGCGCGTTTCTTCTCCTGCATTCAGTCAGTAAGTGTCTCCATCACCACTCTGTGCTCAGCCAATGTGGGGACAGCCTGGACCCTGCCCGGGGGAGGGTCACTTCCTCAGCTAGCTGTTTGTGGGCTTGCAGTGGGGACTGGGGTGGGGAGGGAGGGGCTCAGCCTCAGCTGAGGGTGGAGCCCTCATGGCCATGGCCACTCCCCCTTCACAGGACTTCCTGAACGTGGACCTGCTCATCATCATGGGCACTTCCCTGCAGGTGCAGCCCTTTGCATCCCTCATCAGCAAGTAGGTTGGGGTTTGGGCTCGGGGGTGCTGGGGATAGGGGAGCCAAGACAGGTCCTCACTACTCAGCTCGCCATCCTCCCAGGGCACCCCTCTCTACCCCACGCCTGCTCATCAACAAGGAAAAAACTGGCCAGGTGAGTTGGCTTTTATTCACATCTTCTCGTTCTTCCCTGCCTGCTTGATCCTCACATGGGTCCCCATTTCTTCCCACTGGCTGCCTCGGAATGATGGGATGGGTCTCTAGGGAACCCAATAGTTCAGACCCCTCAGGTCCAGACCAGGGATTCCAGAATCCAGAGGGATCAAGTTCTGGGCTGCCCTGACTCTAAAATTCCACAGGCTCTGGGTCATTCGGGGCCCTTCTGAGCAAGTGACATAACCCCAACTCAAAGCAACTGAAGCCAAAACACTTCCTGGGACTGAAGAGTCAGGGCAGCTGGAGCCTGGGCCTTCTCAGTGTCATCAGAGTCACCAGGGGCTTCCTCTTGGAGAGTAATGTTTCTTCCAACAGACAAAACATGCCATGTGCCAGACGCTGCTGTAAGCGTTTTCCCTGGGTTAACCCACTGACAGTACAACCCTCGGTGTGGGTTCGATGATCATCCCCATTACAGATAAGGAAACTGAGATTCCGAGAGGCCAGGTCACTTAAGCGAAGTCACAGAGCTGGGGTGCAAGCCCAGTGCTCTTATCTCTCCCCATACCCCCTCTTCCCTGCAGACTGACCCCTTCCTGGGAATGATGATGGGCCTTGGGGGAGGCATGGACTTTGACTCCAAGAAGGCCTACAGGTAAGGCCTGGATCTGCTGTGGGAATGGAGCCTGCCAGGGACAGGTCCAAGGTGGGGGTGGGGGTGGGGGCATGAAGGCACACAAACAGGGCAGAGCTAGCAGGGGCCTGGGGCAAGCCTGGGAGATCTGATTCTCACTCAACCACAGGGATGTGGCCTGGCTGGGTGACTGTGACCAGGGCTGCCTGGCTCTTGCTGACCTCCTCGGATGGAAGGTGAGGAGCCTGGGCCACCCCAGCCCTCCCTGAGCCCAGTCCCTGGACCCCTGCCCCATGGGTCCTCTGACCCCCTGAGGCATGGTGACCTCTAACCCCTGGAAACATTGTCCCCTGCAGAAGGAGCTAGAAGACCTTGTCCGGAAGGAGCATGCCAGCATTGACGCTCAGTCAGGGTTGGGGAGCCCCAACCCCACCACTTCAGCTTCCCCCAGGAAGTCCCCACCTGCCCCCAAGGAGGAGGCCAGGACCACGGAGGGGGAGAAACCCCAGTGACACCTGCGCCTCCCAGGCAGGATACCCAGCTCCTTTGGGGCAGTTGAGCCCCAACCAGCCCTGGTCCTCCCTAACTTGCAGCTTTTGTCTGGGGAGCTCAGAGCATTCCCTCAGTCTCATAACCACCCCCTCCTAAAACGGGTCCCAGCCCCCCTGACCCTGGCAGATCTCTAACATCTCCTGAGGGCTGAGGCATGAGCCACCCATCTCTAACAGCCGGAGCCTCTAGCCACCCCAGGGGCAAGGATCAACCTCCCCTAATGTCTAACTGCTCCCGGGAGACCGAGGAGCCTCCAAGTTTCTAACTGTCCCAGGACAGGGCCATAGAGCCCACATACTTTCAACTGCTCCCAGGGGCCTGTGGCCAAGTAGACAAAATTTAACCTACCCTGGCAGGACTGGAGGCCCTCCAAACATAACTCATCAAATGGGGGGATTTGAGCCTGCAGACCTCCCACCTCTCTGCCTCCAATTCCTAAAGTGGGTGCTGGGCTGCCTTCACTCAGGACCCAATTCCCATGCGGAATGGGCAGATGATGTTACCTATTGGAGACAAATTAAAAACAAAAAACTAACAATCAGCTGTCTGGCCTCGCTGTTCCTTTCTGTGGGCTCGCAGGGAAGCAGCTGAGGGAGGGGGTGAGAGCTTGGGCCACTTAAGGAAACCAAGACATCTACAGGCTCTTGTGAGAAATAGAGCAAAGGGTGCCAGAGAGGCTCCTACCCCTGACTTCCCATCATCAGGATCCTTCTTCCAAAGCCCTGTTATCTGAGGCCTAAGGCCCCAGAAAGAGGCAAGAAGTCAATTTCAGATCCCCCCCAGCTCCGCCTCTTCCCCCTCCACCCCACCCAGCCAGCTCAGCTTCCTCTCTGTGAGGAAATACTTTCACTTCCTGCTCCTTCAGGCCTCCCCTCGGAGAACAGGTAGGGGCCCCCAGGGACCCAGCAGCTGGCATGGTTATCCCCCTGTGCCACCTTTGGTATTAAGCAGCTCCCCATCCTGCTCTGCCCAGCACCAACCACCTCCTCCTTCCCTCCCATGGGACCCAGGTGAGCACCTACCTCCTTCCCCCACCCCTCTTGCCTGCTCCTCCCTGGACAGGGCACCTGCTCTGGTTCCCCCTTCCTAACACGGTGGGCTTCTGGTCAGCGGGCTGGTTGATTTGTTAAGCTGTTTATTATCCATCTTCTCTACCCGTCCCAAGAAGATGGATGCCCCCTGAGAGCAGGCCTATTCTGTCCCCAGGCCACAGGCACCTAATTCTGGGCCTGTACTCAATATTTGTGGGATGCATGGATGCCTGGATGCATGGACCCAGGTTTCCTACACCTGGGAGTGCTACAGGGGAAATGTTCAAAAATGCCCACTATAGGACTCTGTACTTGGTTAAGAGTTGGGGTCCGATGGACAGATAGAGGGATGTCTATGTGAGAAAGCAAAGATTAAAATAATGGTAGAATCTAGGTAGTGGGCATATGGGAGTTCCCTATAAATTCTTTTCCATTATTTTATTTTATTTTTTTTAAATACACTTTATTGATTTTTTACAGAGAGGAAGGGAGAGAGATAGAGAGTTAGAAACATCGATGAGAGAGAAACATCGATCAGCTGCCTCCTGCACACTCCCTGCTGGGGATGTGCCCGCAACCAAGGTACATGCCCTTGACTGGAATCGAACCTGGGACCCTTCAGTCCGCAGGCCGACGCTCTATCCACTGAGCCAAACCGGTTTCGGCTCCATTATTTTTTTTAATGTTTGAAATTTTTCATAAAAAAAATAATGGGGCAATATTTGAGGGCCCCTCTGTGGTCTGGGAAGGGTGGAGGAGGGGAAATTGTATAACTTTGGTGTCATGGATCCTAACTAGGCACCGGGTCTTGGCTAGGGTTGTTACTCAACTGGTCCACATTCACACGGCTGCACTGGATATTAAAACCTGAAACATTTCCCTACCATTTGGTAAATGTTTGTCATTTTGAGTGCTCTCCCTCTCCCCTACCCCAAGACACACTGACCTTCCTGCTGGCACGCCCAGAGCACACCGCCATCCAGTGGTGGAAGAATTCACACCTGGCACAGCAAGGAGCCGTAGGCCCATTCCAATTGGTCAGGGTCTCTGCCATGTTGGTTGTAAATATTTTGAACATAATCCCTGAACTAGAGCAGCCTTGAGCCTTATCTTCCTCCCTGCCAGAGGCCAGGCCATGGCTTGCTGGCCTCCTACATCCTGAGGATGGCCCAGCCAGAGGACCAAGCCTTGGCATGCCCCACCAATGGGGAGAGGTGAGTACTACTGGGGCTGGGGTCTCCATCTCCTGCCCCTGGATTCAGAAACCCCTTCCATCCAATTGGTGCCCCGCACAGGACCCCTTACCCCATTTCTGATCCCTCACCCCCAGGCTTTCCTTTCCTACCCTTGATCCCAACTGCCCATCTCTGACCCCTGGTCTCCTGGACCCTGCACTTCCCAGACTGGTCCCATCACAGGAGAATGGAGCAGGTGAGACCTGCTTAGGGGTTCTCAGGGCCCTAGAGCCACTTCTTCGACTGCAGAGGACCTGGGGAGTGTGGCAGATCCCAGAGCTGGACGCCCAGGCTGCAGAAGCCCTTTTGGAGCTGTGGCCACCCGGGGTGAGTATTCATAGCTGGAGACCCTTTCTGACCCTCTCATGACACCCTGGATCAGTTAGGACTCTGCTGGTTGTTAGTGACATACACAAACCGGCCAAGCCATAAAGGCTACTTATTGATTCAAATGACTGAAAAACCCAGAATTTCAGGAATGCCTGGATCCTGAGTATCAGACAACTTATACAGTTCTCTTCATCCTAATTCTTTGCTTTGCTTTAAACTGTGGGGAATTCTGAATGTTTTGGGCTGTAAGTAACAAATGCTCATTCTATAGTAGTTTAAACAAATAAGCATTTATATTTCTTTTTAAAAAATATATATTTATTAATTTTAGAGAGGAAGAGAGAGGGAAATCATTGATTGGCTGCCTCCTGGACACCCCACACTGAGGACTGAGCCTGCAACTCGGGCATGTGCCTTGACCTCCTGGTTCATAGGTTGACACTCAACCACTGAGCCATGCCAGCCAGGCTATTTCTTTTTGTTGTTGTTGCTATTTTGTTTTATTAATCTTCACTTGAGGATATTTTTCCATTGATTTTTAGAGAGAGTGAAAGGGAGGGATGGGGGAGAGAGAGAAAGAAACATCTATGTGAGAGAGACACATTGATTGATTGCCTCCCGCACACGCCCCAACCAGGGATCTAACTCACAACCTAAGTATGCGCCCTTGACTTGGAATCGAACCCACGACACTTCGGTGTGTGCACTGATGCTCTAACCAGCCAGGACAGCATTTATCTTTCTAACATAACCAGAAAGGCAACTGCTGGCTCTAGGTCAGCACCTTAAGTGGCATCAAGGGCAGTGTCCGCAGTTCTCTTGGACTTTCCCATAGTTGCCCAGTGGCTGCTCCGGGTCCAAGCACATGTGTGTGTTCCAGGCCAGAAGGGAAGAAAGGAAGCACCAGTTGCATCTGTTTCTTTTATCAGCAAAAGCAATAGCCTTTACATTTGATTGAGAATATATGGATGGGGCCCAGAAGCAATATTTTTTAAAGCTCATCTAGGAATTATACAGCCAGAGACGGGAAGCCACTGACTATTATTCATCTTCTATGGCTGTGCGTATTAATGCCCTGTACAAAGTTGGGGTTCTGCAAGGAATAGGGGATAGATTTGGATAAGACAACTAACGGGTCTATCATAGCTCCCTCCTTGAGGAAGCTCTCTCCTTATGGTGTCTGAGATGGCTGTCCCGAGCGCAGCACCACACCTCAACAGATTAGCAACTCCATTGTAAAAGGCTTCTTGCCCTGGCCAGTGTGACTAAGTTGGTTGGGTGTTGCCAATGCACTGAAAGGCTGCTGGTTTGATTCCAGATCAGGGCACATGCCCAGGTGGCAGGCTTAATCCCCAAGTGTGTGTGTGTGTGTGGGGGGGGGGGGGATTAATGTTACACTCCCACATTAGTTTCTCTCTCTCTCTCCCTCTCCCTTCCTCTCTGTAAAAATCAATAAACTATTTAAAAAAAAAAAAAAAAAAAAAAAAAAGACCTCTTCCCAAAGAGCTTCAGCAAAATTCCTGTGGAAGATTCCCATTGGCTGAGCTTGGGTCACATGCCCATCTCTGAACTACTCACAGTGGTCAGAGAGCACTGTCATCCTATTGGCTAGCTCAGATCATGGACTCACTCTGAGGACTTGTGGGGAGTCAGCCCACGCACACTGACTGAGAAGGAGTGGGGATCATTAGAGGAAACTTGGAGTGTGGAGCCCTAAATAAGGGAAGTAGATGCTAGGCAGGCAAAAGTAACACATCTGCACAAATCCTCTTCATGCTGACCTTTTTCTCCTCCCCACAGAGTTTTCTGGTCATAGGACATGAACCCAGCCAGGTCCTGGTGTTGAGAACAGGACCTTCACCAGGGGAAGTCAACACCTACCAGATCCAGAAGCTTCCTGGAGGTGAGGTGTCTACCCCCAAGTTTGTAGTCAATAGCAAATTTATCATCAAGAATGGCCAACTTTACTTCCAAAATATCTCCCAATTCTTCCCAGTCCTCTCTGCCTTCATCACCCTAGTCTGAGCCATCATCACCTTTTTCTCAGACAATTTCAGTAGCCTCCTCTCTGGTATCCCCGTGCCTACCCTTTCCTTCCTGCAATCCAATCTGGGCACAGCAGCCAAAGTAGTATTTCAGTCAATCAGATGTTACATATTTCTGTTTTAAACTCTTAAAGGATATGCAATATCCTTAGTTAAAAATTTAAACTCATCATGGGTTATAAGGTGTTTCAGTAGCCAACCTGCCCACCTCTCCATCTGCCGCCCTTCATTCACTCTGCTCCAGCCACACTGTACTCTTCTCTGTTCTTTGGGCACGCTAGATGAGTCCTAGCCTCAGGGCCTTTGCATTTGTTTACCCCAAGTTAATGCTCTTCTTTGAATGATTGATTGATTTCCATCCTTCAGCCCTCTGTGGAAATGTAACCTTCCTTGACCGCCAGAGTTAAGAAAGCCCTAGTCATTTTCAATTACTCTATTTTGTTTATAGCACTCAATATAATATACTTCACTTATCTTTATTTTTCTATTCATTTATTTTCTGTCTTCCTCTACTGAAAGGTAAGCCATAGGAAGGCAGTGATTATGTCTGCTTTTTGACAACTGTATCCCCAGTATCTGGGAATGAAAAGGTGTTCAATAAATACTTATATGTCCAATGAATGAATATTTGGTGGCATAAGTGAGATGCAAGCCTAAAGATGCAGGAAAATATGGAGACTCAAAGGAGTAGAAATTCCCCCGTTCTGAAGGTTCTTGGGGGTTCAGGACTTGGGAAGAGAGAGTCGCAGGGAAGAGGAGGCTGCCACCCCTCATGTTTTCTAACTTGTCCCTCCTGGCCCCCTTCCCTAGGTGTGTCTCTGGAATCCTCTCACCTCTGCATGCCAGACCTGCCCCATCTCCTGGCCTTCCTGTCAGCCAGCAGGTACAAGTTACCCATCAAAAGGGCTAAGGGGGATCCTTCCTTAAAACACCTACCCACATTGTAGCTCCTACTTCTCTTTCCTCAGGGATGTTTTGCCCAGAACACTGCTCTTGCCCCCTCCCACTCTAGGGTCTGGAGAACAACACACAGGTGAGGCATGGTTCTCTAAGGGAGGGAGAGACCAACTTTCTGCCTACTTGGTCCCAGAGGATGGCAACTGGCAGACCAACTACTAGGTTTGAGGGAGGGTAAGGAAGGACATCTGAGAGAACGGGAGGCGGGACTCCTGGGCCTGAATAAGGATGAGCCAAGGCCCAAACCACAGCTTTTTCAGTAATAAGGCTGGGAACTAAGTCTCCTGATGCACTGAAGGGACCAGGGTGGCCCCTTGGACATCAGGGACACCTCACTTCTGCTGGCCCTCAGATACTCTGCAGAATGGCAGTGGCCAACTCAACACCTCAGAGAGGATGATCTCTGTGGTGAACAAGCTCTACCTGGAGACCCACAGAGGGCAAGGGATGAGATCTCCCCCAGAGGCAGCTCCAGAGACTACCAAGATAAGTGATCCAGGTTAGCTGGGCAGGGCCCTGGGTCCTTGAGATGAGGAAGCTGCTGCTGCTGCTCCGTGGGACCAACCCTGTTTTCACATTCAGCCCCCAGGAACACCGCCCCTCATCGGGTCTCTTGGGTGGAAGGCCCGCTCAGCCCAGAAGTACACCGTCCTGGGCCAGCTCTGGCCAGCCTGGGGGAGGAGGAGGAGGACTACCAAGAAGAAGGACCTGAGGATGTGCTTACTAGTCATGTCCAGGCTCTCGCCAGGGCCCGGAGCAGCTATGTGGCCAGGCAGTTCCGAGGCCTTCAGGCACGCCTCACATCAGAAGCTGAGGGCCCCTACAGGCCTGGGGACCCCGCCACCGAGCTGCTCCAGGATGTGCGGCACCTCCTTACCGACCTCCAGGATCACTTAGCAACGGACCCCAATGTCAGGGCTATCTTTGGGAGCAGAGGGCCTGGGGTCCCCCAGAAGAACGAGGATCTTGGTAATAGGAGGACTGGGAGGGGATTTTTAGCCACTCCCTGAACCCCCATCGTTCATATATGTACCATCCCTTGGCCCTACATATGTGTTCACACCCCAGTTCTTCCTCTCTCTCCCTGTGCAAACTGCTTCCTTTTCCACTCACATGCCCTTTCTATAGGTAGTACCACCTCTTCTATTCACCACCACTCCATCTCACACAGGTGTGACAGCCATGATTCCCTCTCCCACATGCGTATTCACACCCAGGCTTCCTCTTCCACATGTGTTCATACCCATGTCTACACTTGTGGGTGGCCAGAAGTTAGGGAGGGGTGGCCGTAGGCCTGGGTGGGTGGGTGGAGCGAGCGGGTTGGTGCGGGTCAGGGGTCAGCCGAGCGACGCTTCCCTCTGCCCCTCGCAGGCCCCGCGGTGGAGGCAGCCTTGTGCCGGGCAGTGCTGGCGCCACTGATGCCGGCCCTGTGGACACGACTCCGCACGCTCAGGGCCCCAGAGCTGAGGCGACTGCGGAGGCAACAAATAGCCCTGCGGGCTGGGCCTCCCGGAGCTCAGGGGGCTGGGCCTGAGGGACAGGGCGCCGCCCCCACCCTGCGGAGCCGCATCCACTCACGCCTCCGGCACCTCCACGCTGCCTGTGCCCCACGCCGCAAGGTGGCGTTGCTGCTGGCGATGTGCAGTGACATCTACGAGGGCCTGGCTTCGGGCGAGAAACAAGGTAAAGGAGGAGAGTCTGCATCTACCTGGATGTGGACCGCCCTTGAGAGTTGTAGGAGCCATTTAGGAGGTGCCTGTGTGCAAGTCCAGGGGCGAGGGTGGCATGTTCTATGTGAGGTGTCTATGCAGGCCTGGAGATCAGGTAAGAGGCATTTGCACCCCAAGCAAGTGAGGGGCAGCCAGCGCTCGCTGTCCTGGGGATCGGATGGAAGGGGCCTGCACATCCCCGTCCAGCTCAGAGCCTGCCCTTGGCGTCCCCAGAGCCCCTGGGCGCCGACGCCTTCCTGCCCGCGCTGACTGAGGAGCTTATCTGGAGTCCGGACATCGGGGAGACTCAGCTGGACGTGGAGTTTCTTATGGAGCTCCTGGATCCTGAAGAGCTACTGGGAGAAGGTGAGCCCCCATCCCCAGAAGTCAGGACCCAACAGGGGGGCACCCCAAACAGCCTCACCTGCAACAGGAGGAAAGGCTGGCACACTGCGGGGGCCTTCGGGCCACCAGGAAAGCCGGGAGAGCTGCACCAACCCCTTCTTCTTGCCCCTAGTTGGTTACTACCTGACCACGTGGTTTGGGGCCCTGCACCACATCGCCCACTATCAGCCCGAAGCTGGGCGAGCGCCACAGGAGCTCAGTTCCGAGGCCAGTGCCTCCCTGTGCCAGTGGCATCGCAGGCGAACGCTACAAGGACAGAGCCACTCCAGACCCCAGGTGACCGCTGGGTTGGACTGTGGGTAAAGGGGAGGACTGGCCCAGTTGCCTTTCTGATTCAGGTTCCTGCCTGTCCCCCCAGGCTGATCTGCCCTTTGAGGAACCCGGGGAAATACAGACTGGGCCAAGAGACCAATGAGGAATAGGGATCTCAAACCTTTCTGCTCTTCAAGCAAGATGCAGAGGCACCTGTTGTTTAGGAGCAGCAAGGAAGAGGAGGTCCCAGGAAAAGGGAATGGCTTACCTTGGGGTCTTTGCATTGGCTGTTCCTGCTTCCTGGAATGCCCTTCCCTAATATCCACACTGTTCCTTCCCTCCCTTCCTTCAGATCTTGAGGCAGATTTCACAGTCTCAGTGACGTTCTCTCAGACACAACTGTCTGCAACTATAACTCCTCTCCCTTGACCTCCCTGTGGAAGGCAGAATAAGGCACCCCCCACCTCCTCCAATGTCCTCTTCCTAGTACCCAGAATCTGTGACTCTGTTACTTTACATGGTAAAATGGATGTTATAGATGCCCTTACAGATTTTAAGGTGGGGAAGTTATCCTGGAATCTAGTGGGTCCAATATCATCACAAGGGTCCTTATAAGAGGGAGGCAGGAGGTTCAGAGTCAGAGGAAGAGATGTGATGATGCAAGCAGAGGTTGGAGTAAAGGCCAGGAGCTAAAGAAAGCAGGCACCCTCTAGAAGTTGAAAAAGACAAGGAGTGGATGTTCCCCTGGAACCTCCAGCAGAAATTCACCCTTTGATTTTAGACCCCTAAGATCTGGTTTGGACTTCTGACCTTCAGAACTGCAAGATAATAAATTGGTGTGGATTTTGTTAAGCCACAAAGTTTGTGGTAATTTGTTACAGCATCAGCAGGAAACTAATACACCCTACCCTGATCTGAAATTGAACCTCCTGGTTCATAGGTAGATGCTCAACCACTGGGTTGGGGGCTCAATCCCCAGTAGGGGGCGTGCAGGAGGCAGCCAATCAATGATTCTCTCATCATTGATGTTTTTATCTCTCTCTCCCTCTCCCTTCCTCTCTGAAATCAATTATTTATTTATTTATTTTTAAAGGGCAGGTAAATGGGAGGCTGTCAGATCCTATATGTCCTTGTTAAAAAGTATTCTGGATCTTTTCTAATTTTTGAGCCACCACGATCTGAGTCTTTTTGTCTTGACTTTTGTTTTTTTTACATTTAATATACATTAACATACCAGGAACAAAAGTAACAGTATTAAACCAGTAACACTGATTAGGAAAAAAAAAATATCTTATATTAGACAAGGAAGTACCTGAAGAGGAACAAGTATCTACTATTATCCAGAAGTTCCAATTTTTCTACTGGGCAGTTAATTTCATCTATTCCTATATTTAGACAATATCTAAAATACTCATCTAGATTAGATCTATATATAACTCTACTAGGGGAATTATTAGGGAGTGTTCTTGGAGAGGTTCGTCCAAGAGAGGTCCTTTATAATAGATAAAGCCTGAAAAAATGTACCAAAGCTTATATTGATAATAGAAGACCACTAGTGTGGCCAACAAAATTTCATTATCATAGCTGATAATCAGAATATCATTGTCTAGTAGGTGAGAAAGATTAGCAGGAACCCAAGTTAAATTTTTCATGTCTATTAAGGAGAAAGGTCTGGGGAGACAGATACTGTTTTCATTAGGGTACCATAAGGAGGATAATATATATATATATATATATATATATAGAGAGAGAGAGAGAGAGAGAGAGAGAGAGAGAGAATGCAAATTAGGCCAGGACACCGTAATGGGTCATGACCAAACAGGAGGAGGTTGCACGAGAGAGAGAGAGAGAGAGAGAGAGAGAGAGAGAGAGAGAGAGAGAGAGAGAGAATGCAAATTAGGCCAGGACACCGTAATGGGTCATGACCAAACAGGAGGAGGTTGCACGCACAGGTAAGGCCCGGAGTGGAGACAGAGACAGACCCAGAGTGGCCTGCCCGAGCTGGCGCGGCAGCTCTGGTGCCCGGAGTGGACACAGGCAGGGGGGCAGGGGGGCAGGGGGGCCTGGGGCGGAAGTCAGGCACAGGTCCCAGCTGCCATGTGGTGCCAGTCAGGCATGACTCCCACGGCGGGCCGCGGGGTGCGGCGGGGCACCTCCTCGCGCGATTTCCATCACGCCCTGGGCCTCTAGTAACAATATAAAAAAATCATTTTATATGCATTCAATCAATAACAATTAGATGATATAAGAACAAGGTTGAGCAGCATCAATTTGTGAGCATACAGGCCTTCCTTGTAATGTCTTGGGATGGCTGTCTACCTCCTCCATAGTCGGTGGCTTCTCATCTTTGAGATGAAGGTGAGTGTCAGAGACAGGGGCAAATGTCCATTCATGGTTAGGCACCTGATAAGGTCCCTTTAACACTGTTGGAGAGAGTCTTTAATGAATGTATTTCCCAATGGACAAAAAATCTCCGGGTTGTCATGGTCTTTGAATCTTTATCTCCTGGGAGTACTGTGAAATGAATGTTACTAATTTATTAGTTCCTATAATGCAGAATATCTGCTTTTTAGTTTTTCTTATATTTGGGAAACAAAATATTTAAAAATCAACAATATTTTAAGAATAATTAGTCTCGCCCTAACCTGTTTGGCTCAGTGGATAGAGCATCGGCCTGCGGACTGAAAGGTCCCAGGTTCGATTCCAGTCAAGGGCATATATATATACCTTGGTTGCGGGCACATCCCCAGTAGGAGGTGTGCAGGAGGCAGCTGATATTTCTCACTCATCAATGTTTCTAACTCTCTATCCCTCTCTCTTCCTCTCTGTAAAAAATCAATAAAATATATATTTTTTCAAAAAGAATAATAAATCTCAATTCATTTAGTTCCATGGTTATTTTTGTTTATCCTAATTATTTGCCAGTAGTTTTTTGAATTCAGTTATTCCTTGAAGTTCTATAAATCTTCATCCAGTTCAAAAATAATAGCCTACTTAGAAGCCTGCAACTTAAAGTAGGTCAGAGTCCTTTACAATGATTTTTCTAAAGATATAATATATCTGCAAATGCATCAGAATAAAGCAACAGCTGTCCATGAATGACAAAATTTAAAAGTGGTATGGTTATAGATTTGATTATAATGCAATTAATAAAAAACTGTGCTTTCCTATAAGATATAACATTCCAAGACAACAATTTCTTTCTTTTTTTTTTAAAATATATTTTATTGATTTTTTACAGAGAGGAAGGGAGAGAGATAGAGTTAGAAACATCGATGAGAGAGAAACATCGATCAGCTGCCTCCTGCACATCTCCTACTGGGGATATGCCTGCAACCCAGGTACATGCCCTTGACCGGAATCGAACCTGGGACCTTTCAGTCCACAGGCCGACGCTCTATCCACTAAGCCAAACCGGTTTCGGCAACAATTTCTTGGTAAATAATAATTACTATAAAATAACATAGAGAATTATACAAAATTTGTATATTTTTAGATTCAATATATAATTTCAGCATATAAAGAATAAAAAATATGTAAGATTTTAAAATGAGGCACATGGTTGCAAGCGGTATATTGAGCTTGAAAAATAATACATAGCCCTGGCCAGTTTGGCTCAGTGGATTTAGCGCCAACCTGTGGACTGAAGGGTCCCAGGTTCGATTCTGGTCAAGGGGACATGCCCAGGTTGTGGGCTCGATTCCCAGTGGGGGGCATGCAGGAGGCAGCTAATCAATAATTCTCATCATTGATGTTTCTATCTCGCTCTTCCTTCCTCTCTGAAATTAATTTAAAAATATGAAAAAGAATAATAAAACATAAACTCCCCATATTTGAAACACAAATATCCAGGGTATCACTGCCAAACACCCCCACAGGGAATTATCACTCTTGGTTTGCCTGGTGTCCCTGACTGGACACATGCTAACCCTGAGAGTTTCCTGTTTGAACTTGGCTCTGAATCTTTGCAAGTTCCTTTCTGAAGCAGACTGAAATTTCTATAACATTCATTTTAACAAAATATATGTATATAAATAGGACATAGTTATTATTAATTTTTATTTGACAAAGCTTCCCACATAATTTCAAGTATATTAAATTGGCCTAATTTAGTTTAAAAATATTTCTTTTAAGAAGAGAGAATAGCCCTAGTGGGTTTGGCTCAGTGGATAGAGCGTTGGCCTGTGAACTAAAAGGTCCCAAGTTTGATTCTGGTCAAGGGCATGTGCCCGGGTTGTGGGCTCGATCCCAGTGGGGGACTTGCAGGAGGCAGCTGATCTATGATTCTCTCTCATCATGGATGTTTCTATCTCTCTCTCATTCTTCCTTCCTCTCTGAAATCAATAAAAATATATTTAAAAAAAAAAGAAGAGAGAATAAATCCTTGAGTCATTCCAGGGCCCATTGGAATGACCCAAACTCATTTCTCAGTTAAAGGTCTTAAAATTCAAACTTTGGATTGTCAAATATACTTAACCAAAAGATTACATCATTAACTCTTTGTAAATGTAGGTAAAAACAACAATAACATATTTTATGGTAATGACTCTAAAAGACATTAATCAAACTTAAATCTTTTAATATTTAAAAATTTTGTCCTGCCGAAACCGGTTTGGCTCAGTGGATAGAGCGTCGGCCTGCGGACTGAAAGGTCCCAGGTTCGATTCCGGTCAGGGGCATGTACCTGGGTTGCGGGCACATCCCCAGTGGGAGATGTGCAGGAGGCGGCTGATCGATGTTTCTCTCCCATCGATGTTTCTAACTCTCTATCTCTCTCCCTTCCTCTCTATAAAAAATCAATAAAATATATTAAAAAAAAATTTTTTGTCCAGACCACAGAATTTTGCTTAATTTATATAAATATTTAATATTTTTTAAATTATGCCAATAGAAGATTATATCCTAATAATGCCATCCAAACGCTGAAAATTTACCACACATAGTACACAGACAAACACATCTATCTATCTATCTATCTATCTATCTATCTATCTGGCTAATATGCTAAGTGTCTGTCCAGGTAATGACATCACATAGCAACACTCAGCTTCCTCTCTCTAGTGACGACTAGCCTCCTTGGAGTTTCTTCAGCCCAGGAACACGACTTGCTTTATAGCCAGGTGCAAATATTTTATACATTTTTTTTTTTTTTTTTTTTTTTTTTTTTACAGAGAGGAAGGGAGATAGAGAGTTAGAAACATCGATGAGAGAGAAACATCGATCAGCTGCCTCCTGCACATCCCCTACTGGGGATGTGCTCACAACCCAGGTACATGCCCTTGACCGGAATCGAACCTGGGACCTTTCAGTCCACAGGCCGACACTCTATCCACTGAGCCAAACCGGTTTTGGCAAATATTTTATACTTTAACCAAATGTTTGTGAAGCGTATTCCCATGCCTCATCTCACTTGATCCTCACAGAAGTCCTGGAGTAGGTAGATAGGAGACTTGGTAGAATCCTATTTTCTTTTCATTAGCTGGAAAATGGAGATTTAGAAAGCTTAGAAACTTGACCTGACAGAAAAGACGTAAGAAATGGTTGACCTTGAAAATGACTTCAGGTTTTCTCACTGCACAGAATATAGTCAAACATTGCTGCAGTTAAATATTTTACCCTTTGTTCTCCCTGCATGATCTACAATAATAATGTGCTTCGTGTTGATATTTACTGCTGTGTTGCTGACAATTACCTGAAAGAGAAGTTGGGGTGCTTCACTGGGCTGGAAAAAGTTTAACTAAATCAGAAAGCAAGTCTAATTAAGCAAGTTTATTCTATATATATAAAAGGCTAAGTTGACTCGCGCATGTGCAATACATATAAAGCTCTCGCTGGCACCAATTGCACACATGTGTTTTTGTCATTGTCAATCATGAATTTGGTTGACACTATAGAGAAAGAGCGAATAGCAATATTAAAATATTTCTTCTAATTAATAATTAATTTCCTTTCAATGTTCATGAATCCATGCACCAGGCCACTAATACCACATAAAGACCATATACATAAAGACCTTAACATAATTCGAATTACTAACTTTTGCAGAGAAAATGCAGTAATTTTTTTCTTCAAAAATGAATCTCCATAGCTCATGCATTATCACAACCATATAATTTCTCCCAACTTAATTTGAACTTTTAACTTTAGAAGCCTCAATTTTCAATAATAACCAAAATAAAATAAGTGACCAATATTCCTTAGATTGATGCTTATGAACACACTAGAGGCCTGGTGCATGAAATTTGTGCATGGGTAGGATCCCTAGGCCTGGCCAGTGATCAGGGCCTATCACATTTCCCGCCTCCCTGACTCCCCACCTCCTCCTTCCCTCACTCCCTCAGTGCACCGGCCATGTTCCGCACCACCCCTTGGTGGTGAGCGCATGTCATAGTGAGTGATTGAACTCCTGGTCTCCTGGTCTAACTCCTGAGGGGACAATTTGCATATTAGCCTTTTATTATGTAGGATTTTAAACACACTCTCACTTTCTTTTTTCTCTTTTTAAATTGATTTCAGAAAGGAAGGAAGAGGGAGAGAAAGATAGGAACATCAATGATGAGAGAGAACCATTGATCAGCTGCCTACAAGCCCCCCACTGGGGATTGAGCCCACAACCCAGGCATGTGCCCTTGACTGGAATCACCCCTGGGACCCTTCAGTTCATGGGCCAATACTCTATCACTGAGCCAAACCAGCCAGGGCCACACTCTCACTTTCAAGAAACATACCTTTAAGCAAAAGACTTTAACAGCTGAAATTCATTTTACAGACTTTGGTAATAAAGGCAAAAGCAGGCAAATTGAAAGACTTATTTAGCACTCACTGTTTCAGTATTTCATGTTATTTCAATATATCTAGAAATTTAATAACCTTAATTAAAATTTACTAATTTAGAAAGGAATAGTTGAAATAAGTTAAGAGTGATTTAGGCCCTAACCGGTTTGGCTGAGTGGATAGACCGTCGGCCTGTGGACTGAAGGGTCCCGGGTTCGATTCTGGTCAAGGGCATGTACCTTGGTTGCGGGCACATCC